AAAAATGCTTTGAATTTATGTGTGTTGGCTACACTTTCGACATACTGCTTCGGTGTTAGACTGTCTATCTCTGGAGTATATTTTTGCTTTTCTGTCTGACCTTCACCCACTGTTCTGAGATCACTGTCTGGTATTTAGTATTGCCCAAATAAATGAATTCACATTCCCTCCTGCTAATATGGTACAATTTTGTCGAGAGCCAGAAGTAGTGTCAGATCTTTCTGACAATGAAACAACTTCTGACTAAGTTCAAATCTGGCATACATAATAAAACTTGGCTAATTATTACATGGTCAGGACTTGGAGTGGCCAGTGGTAGTGGGAAATGGCTCTGTAAAGACTTTCTTTCAACGAAGCTTGGTTTGACCTGGCTTAACACTCCCACCCAATTCTTCAAGGGTGTACAAAACTGCAATTATTATAAAGTGAAGTGGACTTTGGACCTGTTTAATTTTCTATGGAATGTATATCCCTCATTTTTAATAGAGAATAGATGTACTCAAATTACATGGGTAAGAGTTTAGAGGCACTGTGAGCCACTGCCACTTGCTGCTCTACCAAAGAATTAAAAACCCCTAACTTGTAAAGATACATTTTCTTGAAAACTGAAAAGCATATTCTCACATTTAGAATATACTTGTTTTTGGTTGGTATCTCACTTTCAAAGTATTAAAATTGTATGAACCTTCACAATTCAGTGTCACTCCCTAAGAGATGGGGTTTTTTAAATAGGTACCATTTTTACTAAGCGTTTGTGTTAAGTACATATTCAGTGCTGCATAGAAACCCTCATATGAAGTGAGGAAATAGGGTCTGTACTAGATAGTTATAATTAGAAGGTATGTGGATGAGGCCAAATTTGTGTGCAAGTCAGGAAACTAACTTACTTCCTGGTTGTAATCTATAGCCTTAGAATTGTGTTAACAATTGTAATTTTTAACAGCAGGCAGCAGGGCCATGCTTCAAATGCATGGTTCCCTTTCTTTCCTGAACTATTTTACGTGAACCCAAAAAGAAAATAAAAAATGGCAACAGAGCTCCTGTCTTAAGCTACTTGGAACTCTAGAAATTAAAGAAGAAACAAGGAGGAGGAGGAGGAGGAGAGTAGGATTTATACCCTGCCCTTCACCTGGAGTCTCAGAGCGGTTTATAATCTCCTTCCCTTCCTCTTCCCAGAACAGACACCCTGTGAGGTTGGTGGGACTGAGAGAGCTCTGCAAGAACTGTGACTGGCCCAAGGTCACCCAGCTGTGGAGGAGGAGTGGGAAATCAAACCTGGTTCTCCAGATTAAAGACCGCTGCTCTTAACCGCTACACCAAACTGAATCCCCATCGAGGCTATGATGCCCTCTGCAGCACATTTATGTGTCTATTGGGGAATCCATTATTTATAACATTATATCTATGTAGGTAGGTGAGTTACATACTGAGCAGCAGAAGCAAGAAATGGCAAGAAAGTAGAAAGAGACCAGAATGTCATTCTGATTAATGCTCTAGTATAAGATATAGCCATCTCCCTACTCGCCTCTCAGACATCAACCTGCAAAATCCAAGGTAAAGAGTGTCATAATCCAGAAAAGTTACTCAATAAAATAAACCGCTCTACTTGCTGCAAACAGAAGGCTAAAGAAAGATCATGAAAAACACTTAATTCCCCTCCCCCTACAAAGAAAAATCCAAACAAAATCTGACCTGGGAAAAGACCTTCCTGCTTCTAAGTATAGCAAAGCATCATATCCTGAGAAAAGCCCCATCCACTTTGAGAGAAGGTAGGTATCTCTCAATTTCTAAACAGATTAAGGGCAAGTGACTTTGAGAGAATGATGCGGAGTCCAGCAGACATTATGTCTCTTATTCAGGATGGCATTTAAAAAAGAAAAAAAACATGTATATCTGGAATCAAATACCTCAACAAATCTCCTTTGTTTGTGACTGGTGTGGATATGGCTTGTTCGCCATGCTCACACACTGCCTCCCCCCCTTCCCCCGTCTTTACACACAGAGGTATGATGGAAAGCTTCCTAGTGTGGGAAGTCTTCAGTCAAACTCCAATTTGACATGAAGTCCAACAATGTCAGCATCTGGGAAAAACTTGAGTGTTTCCTTCCCACAAATCGGGATTTCAACCACAGTTTAATCCCAGTTTAAAATTTTGGTGGATGGGGAGGAAATTAATTCCGGTTTTTCCAGGCACATGCATCTGGATGTCACAACAAATTAAAGTTTGAAGGTTAGCTAAACCAGGAAGTTTTCAATTGTGCTCTGCTCATGAGGGTAGGAGGGAGGGGCAGGTGATCATTGCAAGAAAGCCTTATCATGAACAAACAGAGGTTTATTGTGATGTCTGTGGGTGACCTGTGTCTGGGCTATAAGGTGTCTTGAAGCCTCTAAAGCATGAAACAAAATGTCTGACTCTGCTACCGCCATTATACATACACATACAACATGTACAGTAACTGCAAAAATCATGGCAAAACAGTTTTGTCATCATTGAGTAAAAAACTGTAGTTATTTTCTCCTCACCAACCAGAATTTTAAACTGGGGTCACTTTTACAATTTGGGGGTGGGGATCTCATATTCTTCTCCTTCTGATGATGTCCGAGGAGGAGTCTCCCCTCACCACTTCAGGGAGCCCATTCCACAGAGCTGGAGCAATGATAGAGAAGATCCAGGCTCTGTTCAATGCTAGATGGGCCACCCTATCTGATGGGATAGACAACATATGGCTGCCTGATGACCATGGCTGGTATACTGGGTCACATGGAAGGATATTATGGCAGACTGGAGATTGACCAAACCAGGAAGTTTTCAGTCAAGCACTCAAGAAAAGGAGGGAAGCGGAATGAGGAAGTGAAATCTGCAAGCTCAGTAATCAAGTGGTGTTTCTGCCTGATGCCAACAAAGCTGCTTAACTGGAGCTTGCAAAAATACCTGAATGTAACTACTGAGACTCTTTGGTTTGGGTGCTCAGTTCAGGTTTGTTGGTATGTTCAGAGTATATGAGTGGGAGAAAAACAGTCAATGAAGACAAGCCTGCCTGGCTTTTCTATATGTTTATTTTCAGGAGGTGGTCACTGCAATCTGCTGGGCACTAGCTTCTATGTTTTTTTAACTATGATGGTAGGCATGCACAGAGAATGAGTTCTACATGTGAGAGACTGTCTCGTATAAGCACAAAAGCATGCATCTTAATTCATTCAGAGATATACTATCAGAGGTTGGTTAACAGTATGATCCTTATCAGAAAAGACTGTGGGTCTGCAACCCTTCTTACATTTCTGGGCAGTAGTTATTTAGCAGAGATTTATAGGCCTGCTCAATGGTGCACTGAGAGGAGATGGAGACTTGCAATGCAATGAATCAGTAGCTTAAGGTCTTCCTTGAACATCACAGCTCTTGATGGCTTTTCTGTATGAAAATCTTCTATAAAATGTCCAGAATGTGTGTTATAAACTGACTTAGGAAATACAATAAAGTTGCAAGCTTTGGCAGGCTTCTAAACTAGATTTATAGTCTAGTGAAATATGGAATTTCCATCATCCTTCTTCTAATCTCCCCAGTGACCTTTTTGTATGAGAAAGTTTATCAGCTCCTTCACACCAAGAAGAAGAAGAAGCAACTGCATGGAAATAAAAATCTTTGCATAATTGTGAAGATGTTTATATTTTGCACAATGTAATAGTTAAATAGTTAATGGGTTTTGAATTGATGGCTGACATTTTCTTTCTGTTAGGTGCCCAATGGTCTGCTGCTTGTGCTGCTGTTTTGCTGTGCATTGGTTGGCTTGACTGAATGAGCTTTATTGCATTGTATGGGTGCATCTGGGAATCACATAACCCCAGAGCTTCCTTCCTTAAAGTTTTGCTGAACTGCAGGGTGGGCCAATCATATTCTTGGTAGCACAACAAAGTGTGTGCAGACCAAAATCCCACATCAACTTTGTGCTTGTTACCCTGTTTCCTTGTTGTTTTGGCCCAAATGAGTGTATTCTGCTATTTCTCTCTTTTCTTGCTTAACTGTGTATCTCTGGGAACTTTTTTTATTGGTCTCAGGAGTTGACAGATAAGAAAACATTCCTGCCCATGTCAAGATGCAGTTCTTTTGTTATGGGATCATTTGCAGTGTAGACATCAATGGATTAATAGGGAAGAAATCAACCGAGCTTGTCTTGTACAATATAAATATTCAGTAGCAAATTCTAGGTGGTAGACATAATAGTATGAAGTAGAAGAATAAAACAAGAATCCAGTGGCACCTTAATGACTAACAAAATTTACTCCATCATAAGCCTTTGTGAGTCAGAGCCCACTTTATCAGGTGCATGAAGTGTTCGTTCATTCAGCAGATACATTTATCCTAAAATAAAATAAAAATAAAATAAAATGGGGGGGGGTAATGTTACAAGAAGAGACTCATTTAAAACAGGATCCAGTCAGAGGATATCCATCCACTCAGACTGGGTGAGAGCATAGTTGAAGACTGTAATCCACACCCATAGCTTTCTATAGAGCTATTCTATGCTTGCTTGTGTCACAGAATGTTACAGATGCATGATGTGCACTCAGAACTTTCCTTGATATGGAAGAGAATGGGCAACCCCCAGCTTGCATATACTGTTCCATGCTGGAGACACAGGGATCTTTTAAGTTGTAACCGGTGGACAGTGAACTAATCAATGTCTATAAGCCATTATAGCTAAATGACAAAACTTTCACATGCAAAGGAAGGAAACCTTACAGTATCAGGGGCCCGGCACAAATGGTTGGGGATGGCTATCAGCTCCATGCCCGGCTTGAGAGCTCAACATACATGTGCAGCTAAGATCCTATTCGTTGCTTCAGCTCATTCTATGAAAGGGTAACAAGGGCGGGGGGGGGAGGTGTTCAGTTGCTTCTAATAAATTCCAAAACCTGTTTGCTTGCTCCCTTTAGAAAGACAACAGAGTCTCTCCCCCCTTCTTTTAAAGTCTAGTAATTGAAAACCTATCTTGTTCTTACAGAACGGTTTTGCTGTTGTAAGGCCCCCAGGCCATCATGCTGAAGAATCAACAGCCATGTAAGTACCAGGGAATATTGCCCATCTTGGAGCACTGGGGTTACTGGCAATCACCTGCAATGTGCACGTCTCTGAGGAACTCTGTCAAGATGCAGTTCTTTTGTTATGGGATGGCCAAACATAAAATATATCTGGAATCATTTGCAGTGTAGACATCAATGAATCAATAGGGAAGAAATCAACCGAGCTTGTCTTATCAACTTTGTGCTTGTTACCCTGTTTCCTTGTTGTTTTGGCCCAAATGAGTGTATTCTGCTATTTCTCTCTTTTCTTGCTTAACTGTGTATCTCTGGGAACTTTTTTTATTGGTCTCAGGAGTTGACAGATAAGAAAACATTCCTGCCCATGTCAAGATGCAGTTCTTTTGTTATGGGATCATTTGCAGTGTAGACATCAATGGATTAATAGGGAAGAAATCAACCGAGCTTGTCTTGTACAATATAAATATTCAGTAGCAAATTCTAGGTGGTAGACATAATAGTATGAAGTAGAAGAATAAAACAAGAATCCAGTGGCACCTTAATGACTAACAAAATTTACTCCATCATAAGCCTTTGTGAGTCAGAGCCCACTTCATCAGGTGCATGAAGTGTTCGTTCATTCAGCAGATACATTTATCCTAAAAGCAGCAAAAAATAAAATAAAATGGGGGGGGGTAATGTTACAAGAAGAGACTCATTTAAAACAGGATCCAGTCAGAGGATATCCATCCACTCAGACTGGGTGAGAGCATAGTTGAAGACTGTAATCCACACCCATAGCTTTCTATAGAGCTATTCTATGCTTGCTTGTGTCACAGAATGTTACAGATGCATGATGTGCACTCAGAACTTTCCTTGATATGGAAGAGAATGGGCAACCCCCAGCTTGCATATACTGTTCCATGCTGGAGACACAGGGATCTTTTAAGTTGTAACCAGTGGACAGTGAACTAATCAATGTCTATAAGCCATTATAGCTAAATGACAAAACTTTCACATGCAAAGGAAGGAAACCTTACAGTATCAGGGGCCCGGCACAAATGGTTGGGGATGGCTATCAGCTCCATGCCCGGCTTGAGAGCTCAACATACATGTGCAGCTAAGATCCTATTCGTTGCTTCAGCTCATTCTATGAAAGGGTAACAAGGGCGGGGGGGGGAGGTGTTCAGTTGCTTCTAATAAATTCCAAAACCTGTTTGCTTGCTCCCTTTAGAAAGACAACAGAGTCTCTCCCCCCTTCTTTTAAAGTCTAGTAATTGAAAACCTATCTTGTTCTTACAGAACGGTTTTGCTGTTGTAAGGCCCCCAGGCCATCATGCTGAAGAATCAACAGCCATGTAAGTACCAGGGAATATTGCCCATCTTGGAGCACTGGGGTTACTGGCAATCACCTGCAATGTGCACGTCTCTGAGGAACTCTAATTGCTAGCAGATGACTGAAAAGGCTTTTGAGGTACTCCCAGAAGCAGATTTATGCTCTCAGAGATCATACAGCTTTTTCAAACACACACACACACAAATGTCCAGAACATTATTTATAACTGTTTTCCTGACTGATGTGCTTTGTAAAATTTCTGTTCTTCTCTATTTCACAGGGGGTTCTGCTTTTTTAATTCGGTTGCAATTACTGCCAAATACTTGAGAGACAAGCTAAATATAGGCAAGATATTGATTGTAGATCTGGTATGTATTCTTGGCAATCGTCATCATTTTAGTACTTCTAGATTTTAAAAGGGGGGGAGGGGGGAAGGTTTTGTATTTTTCTTTTATATGTCTGGGCTTTCCTGCCTTTAATACTTACAAGTAATAAAGGTGTGTGTTTCCTCTGAATTTGGGAACTCATTAAATCCAGGATGGCAGGACTGAAACCATAAACATGTATGTTTCAATTTAATGGTGTTAACTGCAATTTAATGAGAAGAAGGCGCAGATCAGGGTGACTTTTATGGTCCTTAAATGAATTGATACTTCCACTGTTAAAATGACCCAACAA